GTGCAACCTGGGGAGAAGGGGCCGGAGGGGACCAGCGGCAGCAGCACAGGGAGGGTTTTTCTTTCTTTTTTTTTCCTTTTGGCCAGTGCTGATGTGAAAAACACCCTTCCCCGCTGCCTTTCCAGAAGCTGCTTTTCCCATTGCTGCTTTCCCACCCCGAGCGCCGGCCGAGCTCCTCGGCTCCATCCCCAGGGAAGGGCCGCGCTCGGCCCCTGCTCCGGAGCACCCGGCCCTTTCCAGGGAGACCAAGGCCAGAGCCCAGAGCAGCCCCGGCCAAACCCCCAGGACAGGGAACACAAACAAACCCAGCACAATCAGCAGGTAAAAATTATACTTTTATTTTCATCTCAGTAAACCAGGAAGAGAATCGCTTGGTTTTGCTTTTTTTTTTTTTTCTTTTTTTCCTCCATTCGATGGTTTGGTTAAAAAGGCCAAATAATCTGTTCTCCAGGGGCGCTCAGCCCCCAGGGAAGCAAGACACAAGGACAAATCCCAATCGATCGACTGATTCCGAAGAAAACAAATGTTTGAAGCTCAGCACTGCAACGCAACCAGGGAAGCCAAAATGGACAAGGTTTATCTTACACATGATGAGAAGCAATTTAGCTCTTTCTTTTTTTCTTTTTTTTAAACATTTTATTTATTTACTTATTTTAAATACAGGTTTAGGTGCTTTCCAGCTATGAAAAAAAAGGCAAAAAAGTGCATAAGTCAAGAGAAAAGGCAGAAATAAGCAGGAGGAGGTTCGTTTCCCACAGCCGGGGAGAAAGGGCAAGGCATGAGAGGGGGAGATTTAGGACAATGGTTTCAAGGTAGCGTTAAAAAAAGGTCCGTATACCAAAATGTAACTGCCTGTGCTATTTGGTCCATTAAAAAATGATTTATTCACATTGCTGCTCCCACCCACCCCCCTCAATCCCAGACAAGAACGTGATTAAGGGCAGGACTGGCAGGGGGAGACGCAGACTCCCCCCTGCTCCTGCCCTTGTGCTCTCTGGTTTTAGCACCGACTGACCGGGATTCCCATCCTGGCCAGGCTGCTCCGGGCTTCCCGCTGGGAAAGGAGCCAGGAGCAGGATGGGGCAGCTGCAGGTTTCCAGTTGGAGCTGCCCCTGCCCGTCCTGCTCGGGATGGAGAAGGAGGAGGGCACAGGGATGCCCGGGATGGCCTTGCAGAACCCGCAACGCGGGCGATCCCAAGGTGGCCGTGGCCACAAAAGCCACCACTGCTGGGGACCGTGGTCATGGGCCCTGTGCCCCGTTCCCTGTCCCCATCCAGGAGATGGAGAGAGGCCGGATGGGAGAGGGCTCCGTGTCACAGTGATCCCTCCCGGACCCGGCTTCCCGGAGGGCTCCGGCGGGATGGGGACGCCCGGCAGCCCAAGCTGAGAGAGAAGAAACAAGAGCCACTTCCAGGGCTGTCCAGACTAGCTGCTCTGAATCTCAAGGAGAAAGTAAAAGATTGTTCAAAATTTTCACCGTGAATCGTTCTGCTTTGTAACATTTTAAAGACTAAAAAGAGCGAAGACTGAATGGAAACACGGAACAGGAGACGGGAGAAGCGACCGGATGAGCCGGCAGTGCGGGGCAGGCGCTGCCACCTCATCCCTCCTCTCGGCCCAGGCAGCCCTCGGGACCCTTCGCCGCATCCGTGCGGAGATCCCGCGGGAGCCCCGTTCATCCTTCCCACCTGGCCCATCCCTGCAAGAGGTAGGAGAGTTTGGTCCCAACAGCCGGTCAGCTCCTCCCCGGCGCGCGATCCCAGCCAGGAAACGAGTCCTGGGTGGGGGATGCAGCCCCTCGGGAAGGCTGGGGAGGAGGAGAGGGAAGGAGCAAGCAAAGCTACGGGGTTTGGCCGCCGGACATCCCGCGTGGACAGAGCTCCCTGGGTCCCGACAGAGCTACAGAACAGAGCTAGATCAGCGAGAGAAAGCAGAGGCGCTGCAGGAACAAGAGAGGAACCGAGATGTCGGGACGCGGCTCCGGCGGGACGCGCTGGAGAAGGGATGCGGGGTGAGAGACGCGCGCGGACGCGGGGCGGCGCGGGCGCCCGGCCCTCCCGCGGCTCAGATGGCCTCCACGTAGTTGGCGGGGAGCATTCCCGTGTCCCCCGTGCGCTCCACCGTGCCGTACATCCAGCCGTCGTCGATCTGCTGCACGTTGATGATGGTGTCGCCGTCCTGGAAGGAGACCTCGTCTTCGTCGGCCGCGTTGTAGTCGTAGACGGCGCGGAACCGCTTCTGCGCGGAGAGACGGGTCAGGGAGAGGGGAAGGCGCCCGGCCAGGAGCCGGGTGGGAGTTGGGAAGTTCCTGCTGCCCTGGGACAGCAAGAGCAGACGCGGAGCAGCCAGCGCGCAGCCGGGAGCAGCTTCCCGAGCGGAGCAGTCCCGGATCGGGAGCTGTTCCTGGGCTGGCACCAGGGCGGCTCTACTCACCCCTCCTGCGGCCGCGGCGCTGCGCTGCGTGGAGGCCGGCGCCGCCGGCTCCTTGTAGCCCTCCAACGCGGCCGGGAACGTCCAGCCCTTCCCGAGGGAAGCGCCCGCCGCGGCCCCGCGCGCTACCTGGGTTGCTGGGCTGCACGTGATGAGGCGGCTGGTTCTGCTCTGCCGGTCTCCGGTAGTTGGAGCTTTCCTGGGAGTTCCTGCGCTCCGGCTCGGCGCCCTCGGCGGGACTTGGGCCCATCCGGCTCCTCTCAAACTCTTCATGATATTTTATCTACGGGAATGGAAGGGGGAAGGAGCTCAGAGCACTGACCCTCTGGAGCGGAGGAGCATCCCCAGGAGAGCCGCTTCCCAATGGGACTCCCTGCCCACCCGATGGCTGGGAGACCTTCCGAATGCAGCCCAGGGAAGCACAACCGCAGGGAGCGACTTGAACACTCCCCTGAGTGCCTAAACAGGCTGGGAAGGTGGCCAGGAAAACCAGAAAGGAAGGAGGGAGGGAGATGGTCGGTGCCAATGACCACGGCCCTGCACAAAAGGCAGGGCTGGCCCCTGGCTGGACGTCCCCAGGGAACGGCAGGGACACGATGACACATGAAAGCCCAGAGGGTTTACGCAGGCAGCCAGATGGTCCCTGGATTCTTCTGCTTCTCCCGCCCGGGGAAGAGCTTCAGCGCAGGCTGCGACGCAGGAGACGGTCCCTCAGTCTCTACCTGCAGCCTCAGCTGGGAGCAGAGGTTTTGCTCCTGACACCTGCCCCCAAGTTTCCTTTTAAACTGAAGGACGAGGCCGCCTCAGGACTTCTCACTAAAAGAGCCTCTGAAGAGGAGCCAGAGACACCGAACAAACCAGCTGCATCCCAACAGCAAGAACCTTTTCCCTGCAGCAGGTGAAACGGAAGGGTTAACCCGGCTGCCTGGGCATAGAGGTGTAAAAATTAATAGCCACTTGTGTTAATGAATACACTGCTATTGGAAAACACCTGGAGCCCATTTGTCTGCTGGTTAAACAGTTATTTACTGTAGGGCGCTACCTCCAGCTCCTGCACAGGCAGGAGGCAAAGCCTGGAGCAGAGCCGGCTCTGGGAATGCCACGACCGGAGCGCCGGGCTCCGGGAATGCCACGACCGGAGTGCCAGGCTCCCTCTGGCCCTTTTCTTTAGTGGCTTCGCATCTCACTTCTTTGCTGCATTATTTAAAGCCTGGATGTCTTCCCAAGAGGAGAGGAGGTTCCCTGAATGCCACGGCCACAGCTGCGCTGCCTGGAACGGGAGAGGACCGCGGCATCCCGGGAAGCCGCGTCCATCTTCCGCCGGCTCCGACCCGGCTGAAAAGCTGCCCGCAGGAAACACCTTCCAGCCAGGATAGGGCCGAGCCTTCGCTGAGGTCTGGTGCTGGGATAACATCCTGCACCTCCCCGGGAGAAGGCAGGACTTGCCAGCACGGAGAGATCGGAAGGGCCAAGCCCGAGCGCTCCCCTCTTTCGGTCCGTGTTTACGCGGTCGCTCCGCAGGCACAATCCTCCCTCTGTATTTCCATGAGCTCGGAGCCGCCGAGCCAGCCTGGGAGCAGGCAGGAGCTCCCACGGCAGAGGCGCTCTTGGGAGGATGGGAAAAACTCTCCGGAAAAGCTTCCTGCCGCCTCTCGCTTCAGCGAGGCTGCAAAAACTCTGCCTGGGTTGAGGGGACGGCAGAACCTCCCCTGGGCTGCAGGGATTCCAGGGAAAAGCCCCGGGCCCTGCAGAGGGGCAGGAACTCGCAGCAACGCTCGACTGGAACCTTCGGAGATTCTCCTGCCAAGCTGGTTTATGGTCACGGAGAAACCGGCCTTCTCCGTCCCGCCTTCTGCTGAGCCAGGTTTTGCAACAGCCTCTGACGTTAGATAAGGAGAGCACCGTGACTTTAATGAGCAGCTCAAGGTTAATTAAGCCCCCGAGCTCTGCTGGAGGCAGGTTCCGGAAAGCCCAGGAGTCTCAATGGGTTGGGAAGGGGATTTTACCCCTGTGCAGCACATCCTCCTCCTCCAGCACGGCCACGCACAGCCCCCCGTGCCCTGCACCCCTTCCACCAGCACCTGGGCACTAACGGGAGCTGCTGGATGAAGCACAAAGTGCTGCCACCAACCCTGGGCAGGGATTTATCATTTTTGGGAGAGGAGGAGGTGCACAGGACCTCCTTGCGGGCACAGGACAGAGTTCCCTTCCAGGAGGTGGGGAGGACAAACCTGCTGCTCTCAGGGTGCAGGGCCCTGGGAATCCCTCCCGCCCTGCAGCGGGATGCAGGGAAGCTCTGCTGGAAAAAGGGAATGTCAGCAGCTCCCTGAAGGCTGCTCTCGTGCAGCAGCTACAAGGAGCAGCTCCAGGTAGGGACGAGGCCGCTGCCTGTCCCGCTCCGGGGCTGGTGGCAGCGGGTGGCGGGCGCTGGGACCGCACGGAGCCCGGGCGCCG